CTGGATAATGCCTTACTAAAAACATTACAAGAATATCATTGCTCTGCCCACTTCTGTGCCTCCTTTCCACTTATTCTGATGGATAGAGTATCCTCTTTCTTCCTAAGGGAAGAGTCTTTCCCTCTAAGAGAAAAGTCTTGGAGACTTTGTTCAAGATTTACCTTGCTATTTCTTCAGCTGGAGTTTCTGGTTACAGTTTACTTATAACAACAGAGATAATCAGAGTAATGTAAGATGACCAACTCATTTTTTTCCTGTGTGTTTTGGTGCAAGGCAATCACCAGAGAGAAATACAGCATGATTTCAGAGCAGCAATGCTATTAAAATAGCCCAGTAAACCACCTAATATCTGTGGACAGCTCAGAGAGGTGCACTAAAATGAAAGCAGTCTAAGAACCTTGCATTTTAGGCCAGCATTTCAGTGCCGCTCTCACATTCTTGAGAGGGATCAGCTCTCTGTGTGGGAGAGTAAGTGCAGAACACATTACAGCAGTTTGTGTATCCAGTCATTTAAGCCAGTAGGTTGATTATTACCCCTATAGAGAGGTGAAAAACCAGAGGGAGCATGAGGAATTTCAGCTCACAGATCATAAGTAAACGTGATTTTACAAACAAACCCTTCTTGACATTAAATTGACAGTGCTACATATAATGTACTTTGGCTTTACTCTATTCAAGTCTGTCACATTTGTGTGTGAGAAAGGACAACCATCTTAAGGAAAGGCACACAGCAACAATACTAAAATATACAGTGCACTGTTTACGCAAGAACATATTGTAAAGGTGGTAGAAGGGTGTTTTATCTTGGCGAAGACACTTTCTTAAGCCTGAGGTTCATATACCCATAAACTTCAAAGCCTAGGCCCTCAGATCCCTGCCAGGACAGGAGTTATCAAAGAATTGTATTAATTTTATATCCTTCTGCACCACATCATAGTCACAGTGCTCTTTGTTGAAAACTACTTTACATTTATTTTTGTTGAAAGCAATAGGAGTATGAAAGCTGCCAGTGGTAAAGCGAAAGTAAATGTTAGCTTGAGAGCTTTCACTAGCTCTGTGGCATGGGTGAGAAAAGGCTCTCTTGTGCCCTTACAAACCCATTCATTCTCAGCAATGGAAAGCTGTGCTCATCCTACAAGCAATGATGGTAATAAGAAGTTCAGACTTACAGGGCACAGCAATCCATTCCACGTTCACTGCAGTTGCATCTGTAGCACTCCTCTGTCCTCTCAATGTGCCCAAAGGGATACAGTTTTCCATTCAGCATACAGCCTGCATAAGACAGCAGCAAAACACAGCATGTTCTTTAAGCCTCCACATAAAGGCTGAAGAGTTTCACAATTATTTGGGCCTTTCTGAAAATGTAATTCCAGCCAATAGTAAAGTGCAAGGAATTGGGTTTTACTCTCTCAGTTCCTGAATGAGCCTCATGTGCTGGAATAGCAATAACAACCTGCCACCAATTGCAATAATATTGCTGCAACCCAGGGAAAGACTTTGTTTTCCCCCTACTTTTGGCAACTTGCTGCTGGAGCCCCCTACTTGTGTTTTTCCAATGTCTTGCCCCACTCTCGTATTTTGAGCCCTTCCTTGGCAGCTCCACATAGAGCCAAGCTACCACAGAGCAACCAGGTCAGAGGAACTTCCATGGTTCTACCTCTATGGCCTCCCTGGAATCTGAGGCACCCCAAAGCAGAAAGCATCACACAGGGTCACTATACTGCCCATCACAACAAGTAAAGGCAGAAATCTCTTGTGTGGAGAGAAAGAAGCAAATGGTAATTTCTCCCCTGTTTATGAATCAACATATATTATAGAAACTACTGCCTCCTCTGTAGAACCCATGCTGTTCCTGAGATGCTCATCAAAGGTGGCTCTTGATGTCTGGGCCTTTGGGATAATGTGAGCACAAATTACAGGAAAACCAGGCCATAGGACTTTGTCGGTCTATTTATCATTACCTAGCTATTGATTCAATTCTGCAAACACCTTTGGAGGCCTGAGGAGATAGAACAGGACACAATTTGAGGGATCAAAAGTGAAGAACAGGAAAATAAACATGGATAAAATATACTCTTCTTTGCAAAATGACAATATTTTAAACTATACTTCACACTGATAAGTTTAAAAAACAAGGTCCTAAATGTTTGCAAAACTTTGAATGTTTTCACAAACATTTCTGAGGAAAGGATAACAGCTAGTGAAAGCCTAAGATATACCTGTACAGTTTCTTGCAAAGAATTACAATACAAAGAACAAAATTCACAGTAACCTTCACAGAGGTGTCCTCCTGTCTTTGCATCTTACAGGTCTGAAATACAATATAGCCACATTTAAAATAGGTAACTAGATGATTCTCTGAAATGCTCTCCTTTTGCAGTTCTAAAGCAAATACCTATCTACATCCCCATTATGAAAAAATCCCAAACCTATCTAAACTTTTGATTTACCATTGTGGAATGCTTGGCTTCCAAAGAGCTCTGTGGTTCCAGAGAAAGCTTCAGCTTTCTTTATGTGGAATCAGAGAGCAAATATTTTATGGTGACTTTATGTTGTGCAATTCATGTCCAGGTGGAGGGAAAGAAGCCTGCTCAATGCAAATGCAGCTGTTTTGTAATATCCAAAGAAATCTCTGAAGTTTTTCCAGCTGGCAATGAGAAAATGTTTGGTTTTGTAGAGCACTGGCCTGGATAAATTGTTGAGGCCAGAATTTTGTATTCCTTGGAAGCGTTATGATTAGGAAAAATGCCTTTCTGATGGAATACAAGTATTGATAGCTAAGCTGTAGACAGTATTATCCAGCTAGGTGATTTTTAGGTGGGGTAGGAATGCACACAAAATCCTTTCTGCTATCAGTGGGCTGGAACATGCTGAGTAGTGCATTAAGTATTAATAGCAAATGGAGCTTTTGCCAGATCTTTGCATACTCATGGCTGGTGCTGTGGTGTGCACTGCAAGATAACCAAAGGTACTGGGAACAAAACCTCTTAACATGGAGACCTTAGCTGAAGCTGGATCCCACTACAGCATCTCTCCTTCTCTTCCTCCAAAATAAGATTGAGGAAAATAAACTGATTTACATAAATTTTAGACAAAATCTTTCCTCATTTCATTTGTGAGCTTTGCTGGAAAAAAAATTTGGAATTCTGAAATACTTCAATGTCATATGGCATAGTTCTAGGCTACTACAACTGGATATTAATCTTGATGTCTGTACCTCTCAATGCTTCAAATTAAAAAGTATTCCATTAGGCAGCTCCAAATTTTGTTATTCATTAAATTCTTCATTTTTGTAAATAAAATTTAAATAAACCCATAAGTTCTGAAAACCAAATTTTCTCAAGAGACAGTTCTGAGACCTACTTAGGGAGGAAGTTGTTGATCTCCATTCTCAAAATATCACTTCCCTAAGAAGCTGTGGTTGTTTTTTATATAAGCAGGAACATTCCTTCAGGTGCATCAGCTGAGGCTGTGTTTTGTGTAATTTTGACATGAACTAGTATAAAACCAGAAAAGCCATTCAGGACAAGTTTCAAAATTGCTGTTCTGCTCCAGAACACAAAAATCTTTTGGGCAAAACTTACTTTAGGACATTAAGCAACATGAGAACTCTTGTTTTCACATGTTCCCTTTAGAGGCATGATAGGATGGAATCAGTGAATGGGAATGAAGATTTTTAAACAGCATATGCAAACAGCTATACTGGAAAAAGCTGAGCTGACTCTTTATTCTGGCCCCTCACATTTTTCATCTTTACAGGAACCACTTGTGCAGAAATGCAGAGCTATTGACTGATATCCAGCCCACAGCACAGAGAAATTTAAAAGATGAAGCATGTAATACCAGTGCCTGCAAAATACTTGGATTTTTTTTTTTCCCCAAACCAAGGTATATTGCTTGCAGGTCTTAGAAACCTCAAAAAAAGCTCATAAACAAATTAATAAAGCCAGAGAAAATACACTACATTAAATCCTTCTGATTTTAATAACGGCTCACAGAGCTTGAGATAGATCACCTTGTGAAGGAAATATCCCTGCTGAATGAATGTAGATTTCCACTTGATTTGGGGCCAAGTGAGGATCTGTGCTCAAAGAATGCTTAGCTGTGTGTAGCCTCATACTTGTAATACAGCAGATTTGTTGTGATCATGGAACTTGATTAAACAATACACTTGTTTTGGAAGGTGTGTTTATTTTCAAACCATGGAACGGTTCACTATACTCTGTTGTCACTTTTTAATATCCAGTTCTGGAGCTGAGAGCTCCATGTAGAAGCAGCATTTAGCAGGGTGTTGTTGTCTGGTCTCATATATGTGGGCAGATTTAGGACATTTTAGGCATTGCCAGGTGGGAGATTTGATTTCCAAGCCCTGCTTTCAAGCTGAACTTCATTCTTCTGTGAATGTAGGGAATTTTACTGAAGGCACAGAAGGCATCTGCATTGTCAATACAGCAAGCTCTGCTGCCATGAGGAAGCGTGTCTCCAGGGACTGATCTAGATCTCTTTTTCAGAGTGGCGAGAACCACTAAAGCAACACAGTGTGTGCAGACTTTCAGAACCAGGGCTTGGCACAGTCAAAGTATCAGAGTTCAAAGTTTAACATTGCTTTAAACTTTAGGTCTGGTCAGAGTGGCCAATGGACATGAACAGTTGCTGCCAATGTTGGGTGGTGACATTGATGAAAATAAGGGGAAAAAATGGGAGAAAGACGATGATGATCTCTCATCCTCATGATTTTTCTGAGGTGTTAGCAGCACAGGTCTTACCAAAAGTCCATGTGCCCTGAATAGGAGCCATTCTACAGACCCAAATAGTGCATCACTTCAAAATGATAATGGATTTGGACACCTGGCTAGAAGAGAACCTGTAAAGCATGTCAGTGGCCTGTGCCAGGGTACTGGTGCACAGCATGTCAGAATAGAGAGCCAAATGCATTTCTTTCCCAAAAAAGACGGCATTTCCCCATGTCACTGCAGACAACAAAACATCAATATGAAGCATTTATGGGTGTTTCATCTGAATTTATTGTAGTCAACAAAGGCAGTAATGACAGAAATTAGACACTCTAATTATGCATCATGTAAGCCGAATTAGGATAATTAGGAGGTTAGAAGTGAGCTACTGAAGTGCTCTTTTTTACAAGATTTTCCCATGTCATTGTGCTTCTCTGTGATGGAACAGCATCTGTAGGAAGGAGAGGAATTCTGCAGTGCAGAGAGGTTTGGAGCAGGTGTTTAGCCCACACGAGAATAGACAACACACTGCTTTGAGGGGTCATCCTTCTGTACCACATCGTAGTCACAGCGCTCTTTGTTGAAAACTACTTTACATTTCTTTTTGTCGAAAGCAATAGGAGTATGAAAGCTGCCCGTGGTAAAGAGAAAGAGAAATGTTAGCTTGAGAGTAAGCAAAGTTTCAATACTTCAGTGATTATAGGTTGAACTACTGCTGAGTGAGAGAAGTATGAAACTATGGCTCAGGGCACCTGAGCTAGCTTGAGTACCACACAGCTGCATCTTCCAGAGCCTCAAATGATGCCCTGTGCACTGTGCTGTGCAGATGTACCAGGATGCACAGCACTAGCAACGGGATTTCTAGAACAGCATTCTGCAGTGTGACATAAGCATGGGCTTGGCATCTTTTCTCTTTTTTCCTTTAATTTTTCATTATATCCTGTATGCATAGAATGTGGTGGCTTGTCCCTGATACACTGTGCCACCTAAACAAAGATCATCATCAAGGTATTTTGGACCTTGGAGAAAGCAGGAGAGGAGAAAAGGAGGATGCTGGAGAGATACTCCAGAGCAGAGCATTGTCATTGTACATTTAGAATATTCAGTGGAGAAAAGCACCTCAGGAAAGGGATTCAGATCATGATAAGCTCTTTAGGGAAATGTCACTTAAGTCATTCCTCCCTACCCCCATGGTCTCAGCTAATGAAAGACTTAACTGCAGTGAAAGAGGGGTTCACAAGTTCCTTAAAAAATAAGGGCAACCACCAAGTGGATGTGCCTAGAAAGGCTTGTATCCACTCCCAGTGAGCTAAGGCAAAAATGAGCTAAGGCAAACACAGCTAAGGACCCAACCAATCAAGAGCTATATGTGCCTTTCACTAGTTCTGTGGCATGGGTGAGAAAAGGCTCTCTTGTGCCCTTACAAACCCATTCATTCTCAGCAATGGAAAGCTGTGCTCATCCTACAAGCAATAATGGTAATAAGAAGTTCAGACTTACAGGGCACAGCAATCCATTCCACGTTCACTGCAGTTGCATCTGTAGCACTCCTCTGTCCTCTCAATGTGCCCAAAGGGATACAGTTTTCCATTCAGCATACAGCCTGCATAAGACAGCAGCAAAACACAGCATGTTCTTTAAGCCTCCACATAAAGGCTGAAGAGTTTCACAATTATTTGGGCCTTTCTGAAAATGTAATTCCAGCCAATAGTAAAGTGCAAGGAATTGGGTTTTACTCTCTCAGCTCCTGAATGAGCCTCATGTGCTGGAATAGCAATAACAACCTGCCACCAATTGCAATAATATTGCTGCAACCCAGGGAAAGACTTTGTTTTCCCCCTACTTTTGGCAACTTGCTGCTGGAGCCCCCTACTTGTGTTTTTCCAATGTCTTGCCCCTCTCTCATATTTTGAGCCCTTCCTTGGCAGCTCCACATAGAGCCAAGCTACAACAGAGCAACCAGGTCAGAGGAGCTTCCTTGTTCTTACCGTTTTTGGCCTCCCCTTCCTTGTGAATTTTACTCCAGCAGTATGCATCACCCAGGGTCACTATGCCCATCACAACAAGGAAAGCCAGAAAGCTCTTCTGTAAAAGAAACACAGGACTCATGCCATGCATTTTAATCCACATTGATTAGCTCTGTTTTCAAAAGCTGTCACTGAACCCGAATCAAAATTAGTAATAACCTTATGTGTATGTGAAAATAGTGGAAAAGTACACTCCAGATATTTCCTTGCATTGATGATTTTTTTCATTTAGGTGGGAAGATACAGAACGGCATTATTTTACTGCATCAGCAGCATCACTCCCTGCTAAAATTCAGTCTCTAGAAATCACACTAAACTTCAGTAGTATTACAAACTTGAAAGCCCTACCATGCTCTTGTCAGTGCTTTATTTATTGCCTTTGAGTCAGCTCTAGATATTTCTCCAGCAAATCTGTGTTCAGCATTCCATTGCTTCACTTTTGGGTAGAGCAATTTCTTTACATTTTGCAATGGAGAGGAGATCTCAGATCTAAACCTGTTCCAGTAGGTTTTTTGACAAAAGTGGCTGGTTAGTTATGTGTCTTTGGGCAAAATTCCAGTGCTGTACATTGTACTTCGGATCACCAGAGCCATCTTGTCAAACTGTGCAGACACAGGTTGGGACTGGGTACAGGACACACCTCCTTTTGTCTAGTGGGGGCAACAGCTAATCATCTCTAAGAGGCCTTCAGATACATTCCTTGAGACCTGCTGAACATTCAGAACTGCATGACTTTTTACCGGGGTAGAGGGTCTGGAGAATCAGGAGAGAGCAGGGGCTTATTTTGAGGGGTTGCTCCATCTGAATAACTTAAAGGAAAATTTTTGTAATTGCCAGAGACTGAGAAGCAATGGAGGAAGTTATTTACATTTTCTTGATAGCACTTGCAGACTAACATGTAAGGATTTTAAATGAGCAGATCTTTCCAAGCTACGGTTCTGAACTTCAGAAGCTCTTGCTGAGGCTGTTGCTGCTTCAAACTGGGCTTAAAACAGCAGTGAGAGGCTTGGCTTACTTGAATAATAATGCCTTAAGACACTGAAAGGTTCTGAGCCTCAGGCAGGAGGTGAGCCAAGGAGAGCCTCCTTGGTCTGCTGTGGAAAAAAACTTACTATTTTAACCCTAGATGTCGTGCTTTCTTATGGAACTGAGTGACATGGTGTAGTGAAAGCAAGGAGGAAGAGGGTTTGTGGAGTGGTCTGGAAAGGGTGTAATGCTTCATTTTCATTGTGGTTCTGTGATGTGGAGTTCCTGAGGCTTTAGGCTAGAATAGAGACAGTTGTCATGCTGAGCACCATAGCCAGAATGAGAGAAGTTAAAGACTAAAACCCCTGAAGTGTGTTATCCTGTGGTGCCTGGGTCACGTGTTTGCAACAACATAGACAGTCCATGCCATGTAACTCGTATTTCTATAAAAAATACAAAAAAACTTCATTTGTTGTGCTGTCTTCTGTTAATGTTTTATCATTTTTTTCCTGCCAGCATTTTCCTTATCATGGTATTCCTGAAAATGCCAGTCACATGAGCTTGGCCATGCTCCTCTCTCTAAAGATCAGAATTTTAGACCTTCCACTGAAACTAAACAGAAACATAACGGGAAGTCTGTGGTGTTCAATCAGACGTCTGAATGTTCTTTATGCTGCAACAAGCAAATGATTTGTCAGCTAAGTAACAGAAACTTAGGAACAAAACTTAAGCAGAGAAAGAAGCAAATGGTAATTTCTCCCCTGTTTATGATCAACATATATTATAGAAACTACTGCCTCCTCTGTAGAACCCGTGCCGTTCCTGAGATGCTCATCAAAGGTGGCTCTTGATGTCTGGGCCTTTGGGATAATGTGAGCACAAATTACAGGAAAACCAGGCCATAGGACTTTGTCAGTCTATTTATCATTACCTAGCTATTGATTCAATTCTGCAAACACCTTTGGAGGCCTGAGGAGATGGATCAGGACAAAATTTGAGGGATCAAAAGTGAAGAACAGGAAAATAAACATGGATAAAATATACTCTTCTTTGCAAAATGACAATATTTTAAACTGCACTTCACACTGATAAGTTTAAAAAACAAGGTCCTAAATGTTTGCAAAACTTTGAATGTTTTCACAAACATTTCTGAGGAAAGGATAACAGCTAGTGAAAGCCTAAGATATATCTGTACAGTTTCTTGCAAAGAATTACAATACAAAGAACAAAATTCACAGTAACCTTCACGGAGGTGTCCTCCTGTCTTTGCATCTTACAGGTCTGAAATACAATATAGCCACATTTAAAATGGATAACTAGATGATTCTCTGAAATGCTCTCCTTTTGCAGTTCTAAAGCAAATACCTATCTACATCCCCATTATAAAAAAAAAACCCAAACCAATCTAAACTTTTGACTTACCATTGTGGAATGCTTGGCTTCCAAAGAGCTCTGTGGTTCCAGAGAAAGCTTCAGCTTTCTTTATGTGGAATCAGAGAGCAAATATTTTATGGTGACTTTATGTTGTGCAATTCATGTCTAGGTGGAGGGAAAAAAGCCTGCTCAATGCAAATGCAGCTGTTTTGTAATATCCAAAGAAATCTCTGAAGTTTTTCCAGCTGGCAATGAGAAAATGTTTGGTTTTGTAGAGCACTGGCCTGGGTAAATTGTTGAGGCCAGAATTTCGTATTCCTTGGAAGCGTTATGATTAGGAAAAATGCCTTTCTGATGGAATACAAGTATTGATAGCTAAGCTGTAGACAGTATTATCCAGCTAGGTGATTTTTAGGTGGGGTAGGAATGCACACAAAATCCTTTCTGCTATCAGTGGGCTGGAACATGCTGAGTAGTGCATTAGGTATTAATAGCAAATGGAGCTTTTGCCAGATCTTTGCATACTCATGGCTGGTGCTGTGGTGTGCACTGCAAGATAACCAAAGGTACTGGGAACAAAACCTCTTAACATGGAGACCTTAGCTGAAGCTGGATCCCACTACAGCATCTCTCCTTCTCCTCCTCCAAAATAAAATATTCCTCTCAAATAAAAACCCTGCTGTTACTCGTGTGGAATTGTTCCAGCTTTGACCTGATAATCATAGTGGATTATACAATCACTTTTAAATGACCACTTTCCCAAGAAGTAATAAATTTCAGTGTTAATCAAGTATTCTGCTTTCTCTTGCTCCTGCAACCTCTTTTCAGAAAGCAATATCCAGCTGTGGCCCTACCTACATTTCAAATACTTCATTACCGATGCTGCCAAGCAATTTGAAACTCATTCCTGTGGGAGACTTATCATCAGCTACAAGAAATTTAGCCTATGATTATTAGGCTTAGAGACCGAAAAAATAAGCTAAATCATTTGGGACTTGTTTTTTGTAGAATAAATTGAACACAGAGTTATATACTTTGCAATGGTGGCAAGAAAAGTTGTCATTTTTTCCTATGCACTATGTATTGCTACATACTAGTAATAGCTAATTTGACCCAAATAATTCAGCAGGAGCAAAAGAAATTAAAGTACATCACAACAGAATTCCATTACCTCCCTGAAGGAAATGGTAAAGATGAAGTCCATGCAGGTTTGATAATTCTTTAGTAAGAAAGACATAATTAATGAAAAGTTCCTAAGCATTCAATTGTCTGACCAAACACCTGACTTCTGGGGGTTTTTTTCTGATACAATCACTACATTTTAAAATTTTAATTTAGTGATAGTCATGTTGAAATTTAATGATAGTCAATTATTGAAAAAATTCAATAAATATCCTTTCTCACCCTTTGCTTCTGGCATGGTAGGTCACAGTACTTTATCATTCAACTCTTCCTCTTGTCTATGTTTACAGAGCGTTGAGTCAGCTTACAACCTTAGCAGCTTTAACCTTCAGTTCTGTAGCACAAACTTATTTCCATTCATGCCACCCATTTCTGCACAGTCGCCAACCTGACAGTATCTCATTTTAAATCTGAATAAAAAACAAGGCATAAAAGCATGTAAGTGTTGTATGTATCCAGGCACCTCATTAACCATCTTGCACCTCATATTGTTCTAGATAGAAAATGCTTGCTTTCTATCCCTAAATTCTTCTCAGGGGCACTGTTAATAGAAATTTTATGCTTTACAGAGTTGTTAAAAAACCCTACTCCTCCAAAATGAAAAACAAAAAAACAAAAAAAAAACAACCAACCAAAAAACTATCTAAAGCATGAACTAAGTAAGCACAGTTTATTTTGCCATTAAGATGACTGGGCTTAGTTTGGCACGTTAAGTATCATTTGCAAACTCTTTCAGTGACAGTTGTGTGTATTTTTCCAGATCTCTTGATATAAGCCTTTCATACAAATGTAGAGAAACTATGGGTGATGTGCACTCTCCTGTGCCTTGTACACTGTAGTAAAATATTCCCTTCATTTCACCTGCCATGTGCAGGCTTTGCTACCAGAAGGTCACCCTGGGCTGAACAGGAAATTTTATGCCAGTCCTTCTCTGGCTTTTTGATAGACACCTCAAAGCAAGACTGGTTTTGCTTTCAAGTGCTTGTTAGGCACAATACCTTATTCTTCTGCCAGTGATTTCTTGACAAAGGTGCCAGAGCCCTGCCAGCTGTGCTGTGGACTGTCTGCTCTAGGCTGACACTTTTGGGTGCCTCTGGATCACCTGCCTGAGGATACACAGATCTTGCTATAAAAGAATTTAGTCCCTTCCTGAAATCTTAGATCTGGCTACATCTCCAGTGAATTCCTCTTTTCAATACACATTTTTTTCAAGGATAATTGCTTCCAAAGCACTGCACTAATTTCTCCAGAGCATGCAGAGTTCTTAATAGGGGACTGTAGGGAAGACGAGAAGGGAAATGACAGGACAAGGAGTCATGATTCTAAAGTGAAAGAGGGCATATTTAGAATTGTTATTATGAAGAAATTCTTTACTGTGAGGGTGTTCAGACATTGGAATAGGTTGCCTAGAGAACTTGTGTCTGGCCCATCCCTGGAAGTATTTAAGGCCTGGCTGGATGGGGCTTTGAACAACCTGACGTAGTGGAAGGTGTCCCTGCCAATGGCCTGGAGGTTGGAACTAGATGATCTTTAAGACCCCTTTCAACCCAAACCATTCTATGATTTGGTGTTCTTACCTTCCATCAAAAATGCTGGTGTCCTCATGGTGGCTTAATACCCAATGAGAGAATAAGTTTTTTGCAAAGCTCACTCCTAATTCCATAGAACTTAAATATATCATGTAAATAAATATTTGTACATTAAGTCATGCCGATAACTAAACCTCCAATATGTCTTTAGCTTAAATAGGTTTGAACCTACTGAAGAAGGCTGGAAAATTCACATTAATTTCTGTACCCTTCAAATTAGATCTTAGGGCTTGGGTCTAGCTAAGCACTTATGTATATCTGTATTTGATCCCTCTGGATTCCATTGTCTGCAGTGAAGCCACCCTTTGTTATCAAGCACACACTTGGTGAAAGGCTTTCCTGGGTCTAACCTAGAACGTAAGTTCACAGTCATCCTTACTCTTACTCTATCAACTATGATACTTCAGTTGATATGAGAAGTTTAATCTCGATCTGTTTCCAGAAGTGGAAGGGTAGCACTACTTCATTAGTCCTATGAGTTTCACATTTCAAAGTTTTGCTAAAGACTAAAGTAGAAAACCATGGGACTGTGATTCAGGACTTTTTTTATTTCTTCATTCTGATGCTGACTTGATGCATGATTTTGGGTGACTACCTTAAGTGTGCCAGAGATTTCAAGTTTCAGAGCTTATGACCTGAATAGAGGAATTCAGAAGGAAGAGACAACATGGAAGTTAAGTTTCCCTATTCCTGACATAAGGATTCCTACACCTCACGAAGGATCTCCAGAGTAACGCCTGTTCTCCAAGCCCATAATTTTACCACCAGATATAAACTTTTCAGATCAAGGAAATATCAAACCACAAACCAATGAAGTCATGTGTCTGAGTCCAGGTTCATTTATAGGATTGGCTCTTTTGCTGTGGACTTTGTTTTCCTCCCTTAAACTCTAGTTACCGGAACTGAATTTATCAGACTGGCTTTTTTTTTTTTTTTTTTTATTTTAGTGCTTGCACAACTTATTGCAGTAAATCATTTGACTCAATATAGCAAGGTCTTTTTAGGTGAAGTGGGTAATCATAGTTGCTTATTTCTTACAAGTTATAATTAATTATTTATGGAAAACCTCATTCTGAAGTCCCTGAAATGAATAAATACACTAATAGGCAATTGGTGTGTTCTGGCATTGTATTAACCAGCAGTGAACACCAGGCAGAAGGGGAAGTTCCTCTGGAGGTTTCAGGCTCCTGTGCTGGTCCAGTGACAGCACAGGTACTTATTTCTAGCTACAGATATTCTTTTCTACACTGTGCACCAGAGTCTGAGGCATCTTCAAGTATAACTTGCCACTCCCGAGACTTTTTGCAGCCCACAGATAATGCAGGTGCTGGGACTATCTCTTAGAGACTGAGGAATTCTGGAAATTGCAGGGTTTGAACAACCACATCTCTCTGCCTCTATACCAAGACATACAGCACTACTGAGCATGAAAGCAAGGAGAGGCTGGGGAAATAAAGAACAATGCACAAATTGTATGTGGGTTCTTTCCCGTGGGAAGCAGAAGCTTAACTTTTAATTGTAATTTGACTTTTTTTTTTATGTTTGCATCCTGTTCTAAGGTTACAAAAACATGTTTGCTTTCTGTTAGCTATAGAGAAAGCTAGCTGTGGAACTTTCTTTACCTTGTAAATATTTGTGAGTTTAATCAAGTGCTAAGGTACAGCTTTAAGCATGGGATGTCAGAGACAACAGCGCTGTACATGTTCTGTTTCTTAATCCGCAGGTTAGTCCCTGATGACATATGTGATTTTTTGATACCTGTATGTCACATGATCGTTTTGATAGTACTGAGGGGAGCAGCAAGTAATTTTTCTTGCTGCTGTCTTTTCTCTAAACTTGAAATAGAACCTGTCTAAATTCCTCTCAAAAAGGAACTTTAGGATGTAATGCTTTTTTTAACCCTGTCTGTAATGTTTAGGACAGGATTTCTAGAAAGCAGATTTTGTACTATTCATAGTCCTCTTGGCTCAGAGGCTGAGCCAAAATAAACAGCTTTCTCTAAGGAACAATTCAGGTTCTATGTAGCTGTCATGCTGGGTTTTTTATGGAAACTGATCTGCAAGACCCCCAGACCCGAAGCTGCCCAATGCTAAGACCCTACATTTTGCAGCATCAGTGCACAAAGAGGACATAGATCTCATGTTTTATAATGCACAAATTTCTGTGAAAGTAGAGCTTCGTATTATCAACAAAGGAGATTCACATATCACTGAACATGGAATGTAATTAAAGGCAAGCTTTCTGGTTGTTGGAATGTTGCAGAGGAAGAAACTATGGCAAAACACTATAAGGCTTTGAGAATAATTTTGTATTAATGCCATCTATGGTTTTTAACAATCTTGCTCAAGACGTTGTGAAACTAGCCAAGGCTAGTATTTTTCTACTT